TTATTAGGTCCCCTTTCAGCCTTCTCTTCTTCAGGCTGAAGAAGCCCAGCTCCCTCAGCCTTTCCTCATAGCACAGATGCTCCAGTCCTCTCACCATCCTTGTAGCCCTCTGCTGGACTCTCTCCAGTAGCTCTTCATCTTTCTTGAACTGGGGAGCCCAGAACTGGACACAGGACTGCAGATGGGGCCTCACTAGGGCAGAGCAGAGGGGGAGGAGAACCTTTCGGGCTGAGGTGGAGCTGAAGGGGTGCAAATCATGGCTGTAACGCCCGGTGGGATGCTGTGTCCCTCAGTGAAGGGCTTGTGGCTGCTGTTTGGCAGAGTCATCGCTCCCCCCGCAAGTTACTCCTCCGGGGAAGTGGATGTGGGGCTGTGCCCAGCCCTGCGCTGGTCATCCTGGGGGGCTGCCCAGCCTCTGCGCTGGGGATGCTGAGCCCTGCTTCCACGTGGGCTCTGGAGAGTGGAAAGAGGAGGTGAGAAAAGTCCTTTCTTTTCCTCCTTCCTTTTTTTTATTTTCCTTTTTGCCCCTGTTTTCATTTTCTTTTTTTTTCTTTTGCCCCTTTTTCTTTTCTTTCCTTTTCACCCCCTTTTCTTTTCTTTTTTTTTCTTTTCACCCCCTTTTTCTTTTCTTTTCTTTATTTCCTTTTCACCCCCTTTTTTCTTTTCTATTTTTTTTTCCCCCCCCTTTTTTTTTTTTCCCCCCAGACAACAAGAACCACTTCCAAGATAGCAACAGAAACAACAACAGAAGCAGCCACTGTTTGTACCTGTGTCCCCATCTCGTGTGGGGCACGCTCCCAGCCCCGTGGCATGGGACCACCCGCGCTGCCCTGCACATCAATCAGCCCTGGCTGAATCTGGCCACTGGCCACCTCGCTGACCCCGCTATCTCCCTCCTTTTCCCCCGGGATTCAAGTGCAAATGCCTCGGGGCCAGGGCTGTGCAGCCCCTCGCACCAGCCGGCCTCGGCCCTCGCGGGACTGATGTGGGATCTCCCTCCAGCTGCGAGACCACCACGTCCCAGCTGATTTACAGCAGGAAACATCAACCTGCAGGGCAACGAGCGGCTGGTAGCTTTCCTTTTTTCTTTTTTTCCTTCCCTCCCTCCTGATCAACTACTGCAATAAAACGGCTTCCATTTTTCACGCCCTTTCTCCCCAGTCTATGCCCAAACTGCAACATCGGTTAAAAATATCATCTGTGAAAAGAAAACGCAAATAAATGAGCACAACAAAGCCAGCTGCCTGGGGTCATTCGGTTGGGAGCAGAAATGGCGCTAGGCCCTGGGCCCATTATCTTGCTGATATCTAATGCCACCACTCCAGAGTGT